TAGCGGCAAAGAGTCCTGTGGCACCTTATAGACTAACCGGCATATTGGAGCATAAGCTTTCCTGGGTGAATACCCACTTCGTCGGATGCATGTAGTGGAAATTTCCAGAGGCGGGTATAAATATGCAAGCAAGAATCAGGCTAGGGATAACAAGGGTTAGTTCAATCAGGGAGGATGAAGCCCTCTTCTAGCAGTTGAGGTTAATTGATTATCCATTGATTAAAACATCTATTAATCATGTATTAACCTCTTCTTTGCTTAAATTGCACTTCTCATGTAAAATGTGGCCACTTTTTCTAAATATGAGTGTGTTCACACATCTTTTTAAAGCTTAAAAAGGATCCAGCAACAGCATTCCAGTCTTAGTGCATTTTACCCCTACCACCCAAAACACTGAGTGCTGGGGAAAATCCATGCAGTGGTTTGGAACCTCCATGAGATACAGAGACGGCTGTGCCATAGTGAATAATAGGAACGCGGGGTTCCCACTCTTAAATTAAACAAAACCAAATGGACACAACCCTTACTGTGTCTAGCAGCATCTCTTAGGTGTTCCTTTCAGGGAGACATACTTTTTCAGTGAATAATGCTGTACTGAGATGGGAGAATAGGGCTAGATAATGGAGGAGAAATGGTGGATTTTTTGGTTAACACTCTGGATTGGGACTCAGGAGATCTGCTTTCTGTTACCAGTTCCTCCGCAGGCTCCCCATATGATCATATGCAAGTGACCTAATCTCTCGTTGCCTCAGTTCCCTACCTCTAAAATGGAGATAATTAACACACTCTCCTGCCCTTTGTCTAAGGTACTTAGAATGTCAATTCTTTGGAACAGGGACTCTTACAATGTGTATATACAGCACCTAGAACAATGGGTTGCAATCTTGGTGTTTAATGCTTGTGTAATAATGCAGGAGGCCTTTTGCCTCTAGCTTCTGTTACATCTCTAACTAGTAACTCTTTTTACAATATTTTCCAGATACAGTGTGAATTATGTCAGTGTCTTTTGCCATTTTCCTTCCTTTTCCTCATCTCTTGTGAACACCAGGAACCCTAACTTCTTTCCCTTTTAGAAACGTCCCTATAATCTCCCTTCATCACTCCAGATGGAAAAGGTGAAGGCAAGATCCTTAGCTGGTGCTGATCAACATAATTCCATCAATTTCAACAGCACAATGCCAATTTCACCAGCTGAGTGTCTGGCCCCGAAGTTTTTTTGTCTTTAAATCAGACCTCTTATTTAAAGATGAGCAAAAAATGTAATTATTTAATGCTTGGATTTCCATAAGCCTGGCCCACACTCTTATGTGTATGTGTGTGTTCTCTCTCTCTCTCTCTCTCTCGTATGTATGTACACACATACACACACAGTGCCTTGCCTCATTAATATTCCGTTGTTCCTAGCCCGTTTGCCACCCATGCTGCATGTTGAGTATCAGCAGCTGTGTTTGGTAATGCAGGCCAGCGGAGTCCTTGGCATTGATGGATCCCTGATTTACACGGCTGATCATATAATAAACTCTCAGCTGTGTAGAAAAGGCATTTTATGGCCTTGCGATTGGTTGTTCAGTAGACTAACAAATACACCAGGTACAATATAAAACCAGGGTCACAGGTGCAGAAGGCTGGCCAGAGGGGGCTCTAATTAGTCCCGTTTGTCCTGCACTTAATGTCAAGCTCATTAAGGGGCCCTACAAAGTTAATCAACATGCCACAAATTGGATTTTTTGAGTTCTGCTGCCAGTTCTGCGCATGCTGCAAGGCCGTGGGTCTGCTCAGCTCCCTGTGTCAGGATTACAGGCCGGGTGCTGGGCATTTCCCTTTTCCTTTTATTTGGTCTGACTCTCAGGATTCCATATTTAAACTCCTTTAACATGTGATCAGGTTGATAATGAAATTCACTAAGATCCTGTCAAACTAGCTCCTGAGTTTAACACTTCATTTAAACTACCAGGGTGCTCTAAAGAAACAGCAGAGGAGGGAAGAAAAAGAAAAAACTCCACTCAGACCAGTGGCTGGGTGTTAATGTGAATTATTCACCTGGTTTCCATTCACACATTTTTCTAAAAAAATTAATTTAACAAATGCAAATTCTGCAAGTTCTCATACAGGGGCCTAGCCAGCACTCCAGTATCTTTTATTTTTGAGCAAGGCGCTGAATGGAATACTGAAACAATAATTCTGAAATTTAAATACCCCCCCAGGCTTCCCGCTTCTGTCACAGAAAACTCCTGGGTCAGATGCGCAGCTGGTATAAATCCGCAAATTATGCCTGTTTTCCACCAACTCAGGTTCTGGCCACATGTTTTCAGAGCTGAGCTCCATCTTTATAAATGGATTTTTTTTATCTCAAAATTCACCATTGTGTCACCATTTGCTGCCCCGCTTCAAAAAGAATCTGTATTACTAGATAGATTCATATATGGAACCCATCACCATAGGGCCAGCACATCTAGTGATTGTGATCATAGTTAAACACATTGATTCTGTGTTAGAAATTCAGGAATTGTCAGATCTTCAGTTGATGGGCTGACCTTGATAGAACCAGGTTCATTGACACCATTGAGCGCTCTGGCCCAACACAGAATAAAGAATAAATGCAGCTTGACTTCAGTGGAGCTATCCCTATTTATACCAGATTGGGCTCAGCTTTTGTGTACAAATGAACGTTTAAAAAGCATCCAAAGAGGGAAACCCTCTCCCTCCTTTCTTGTCACAGGGAAAACTGCCATCCGCGCCTCAAACCCCTCTCGTGAGCTGTGTACACGAAGTGGTTTTTAAAGATCAAATGCATTTAAACCATGTGAGCTCTCTGCTAGTCTCCTGCAATCAGAAAATAATGTGGAGTATCAGAGTTATTATACACAATGCTTTAAAAAACCATTTAGTGCTGCCTGAAAGATTTGGAAACGCTAATGTAAAATCAGAATTTATTGTGAGGAAGGTCTTCATTTGGGAGGGGCGGATTTTGTTGGAGGGTCTAAAGAGAAAAGAGAGTGAAATATCATTTTAAAGAGGAAGTGAAAGCACAGGCATCTGAGTATATAACTAGAAGGACAATTTATGCCCAAGCACGAGTGCAGTTTGACATGGGGATAATGAAAAAACGTAGGTCATTGTGGATGACTTAAGCCTTCAGCAGCTGAAGAAAATGTATGAAATGCGAGGAACATTACACGCTTGGCAGCTCTGCACATCTGCAGTAGGACAAGTGAAATACAGTTGGCCATTCTTTACCATAAACTGTGGTTGTAGGATATGCAGCACAGAGAAATTGTAATTACAGTGACAAGACAAATCAGTGATATTTAAATATTCATGAACAAAGTCTTGGGCAATCAATCTATCTTTATTGTCCTTGCCTTCACTTCTGTAATAAATAAGTAGCTGGAGCCCTCACCTTTCATTCAGATAATTCTGAGTTTGGTGCTAAACTGAAGTACATTTATCAGCCACCCAATCTGGAATATTTAAACACCCAAAGTTTTTGGCCCTGGGTGGCATCGCATTTGTCTGGAGAGCAAGAGGGAAATGGCTTGTGATTGCTCCCCGATATAGGTATGTGTGTGACCCTCTCTTTGGCAGACAAATGAGCCCACAAAGCCCTCTGTTGCAGGGGAGCAGTGGGCCTTCCGTCACACCTCTCTCTTGCTGGAATTCTCATGCCTCAGTGAGGCTTGTTGGGGGAGGGGGGAGGCGGGTGGTTCCCCAATTTGATTCCCCTCTCTGGAGATGGGACACAATGCCTGAGGAAGCAGCTGGCAGACCTGTAACCTCTTTGCAGGCTTGTCTGTGATGGAGAGCCTTTACTTTCTCTGCCATGGCACTGTTCCCTGGAGCCAGTAAGAAGCAGCTCGCTCTGCGACGCTTTTCCCCCCTGCTGCGCTTAGATGGTGAGGCAGGTTGCCTCTTTAGCACTTCCCCAACCCAATCAGCGAGGTCGAGGGTCTCCTGTGTGCAGCAGGGCAGCGGGTCCTTCCCATCCTACTGAACTGCAGGAGGGATGACTGTCATTCTGTCATTCCTGTTTGACAGGCCATATCTGGGGGTGAGGGAATGAGAGGAACAGACATGGGGACGGGAGGGGAGGAGTTAGGGCATGGTTTGAGTAGAGGAAGACTGTTGTACTGGACAGCCCTTTGGTCTGCTCTCTGAACTGGTCCATATGACCCAGTCCTCTTCTGCCCCCTAAATCCACAGTACCTGCAAAGAATCAGCCAGCCAGAGCAGGAGCAGTAAATAACTAGTCAATCATTACAAACAAGTGGGAGTCTTCATATCCTGCCCATTGTTAGCCTAAGTAACAGCCAGATCTTATCATTATTCCCCTCCTCTTCCTCTCCCCTTGGCAAGAGCTGTCTCTCCCTGCTGTGTTTGTGCAGCGCCTGGCACCATGGGGCCCTGATCCCAACTGGGACCTTTGGATGGTGGTGATATTATTATTGTAGGGTTTAGGAGCCATCGTCATGGACCAGGACCCCAGGAGCTAGGCACTAGACAAACAGAACAAAAAGGTGGTCTAAATTAATGCCAAATAATAATGTACAGCAAGAGGTGGCGTTGAAGTTTCATTAGGTGGCCTCTTATCCCGAGTATCTCCATCCCTTCTGGGTGTTGAGCCAAGAAAGGAACGTGTGTAACCCCACTGCTCTGGATAAATTGCTGCTTGGATGCTTACTCCCCCTGCATTTCCGGCTGGATGGAAGATTCTTCTTCCCTTCTAGTCTGAAGGTGCTGCGCAGCATTGCTCTTCATTGCTCGGCATCTCTTGCGTTCCACCCCAGAGCCAGCTGCATGTCATGGGTGTGTGAAGTGACCACTGTCAATTCCTTCCTCTTGACCTTCTGTGGTGGGAGGGCAGGGGGGATTAAGACCTCCCAGGTGGCTTTTCGAGAGGTGGGGGCAGTACAGAGAGAGCTGTGCGGGTGCAGGCTGCGAGGGCTGCGTAATGCTGTGCGGTGTTCTCCGCTGTCTCTAACCGCGTGCTTGTGTCACTCCAGGTGACCACCCCTACGAGTGTGAATTCTGTGGCAGCTGCTTCCGGGATGAGAGCACGTTGAAAGGCCACAAGCGCATCCACACTGGAGAGAAACCGTATGAGTGCAACGGCTGCGGCAAGAAATTCAGCCTCAAGCACCAGCTGGAGACCCACTACAGGGTGCACACAGGTACCGTCCCGCTTAGCAGCACGTGAGTGAGCTGCTCCTGCAGCCGCGCTGCCATGGACTGTGATCCCCTTAGACCTCACAAGCTAAACAGGGCTGGGCTGGTTCAGCGCTTGGATGGGAGCCCTCCATGGAACAGCTAGGGTCACAGTGAGGGGTTCGCCAGGGACCATTCTTCCCTTGAGCCGGTATCGAACTGCTGCCCACAAGTGGTGGGACGGGATGTCACACTGCTGAAAGCACCCAGCTTTCAAACTAATTATTTAACCTTGGTGTTCTGCACAAGAATCGGGGCATTAATTCCTGTGTCCTCAGGAAGTTCTATGCTGGTAATTGCACTGTTTCCCTAAGCTCCTCCTGCAGTTTCTGTCGAACACGGTATCTTCACTCCCTGCCCTGCCATGTGCACTGTTAAACAGCTGCTGGGCCCCAGCCCAGGACAGGATGATGTGATGCCTGGGTCTAGTTTAGGTATCAATTCAGGATCCTTTGAGAGAAAAGGTGCTGTGGAAAGAACTACATCTTGCCTGGGCATTTGACAGCTGAGGGGCGTGAGAGCAATATAAAGTTGGGACAAATGAAAATACACTTGAGACTTTCCCCTTTACTTTTACTTCATAGCTACCTCTCCCATCTCCAGCCCCCTGCGCCCTTAGCCACCAGCCCCTTTTCAAAATTAATCCTTCCCCTTTGCCAGCACAAACGAAAGCTGTGCAAGGTGCCTGCGGGCGTCATGGGCGGGCTGGGAAGGGATAGGCCAGACTCCTTGTCATACTGAAATAATTAGGGCTGGTTAGTAACAATTACCCTCATCTCTCTCTGGAGAGAGAATAAAGAGAGCTAAGCAGTGCTGCTCCCTCTTCCTGCTTTTACTATATGCAGGAGCTGACCTGGCTGAATACCCAAGCCATCAAATGGTGCATCCCCACCTACCATCTGCCTTCTACATGGCAGGCTCAGAAAGAGTTGCAGGGGCTCTCTAGCCACTGGAAGATGCAGGGAGCTGCAACTGGAAGAGACCCCCATCTTCAGCAGGGCCATCCTCACTTCCATTCCTGCATGAGGATGTGGCTCTCCTGCCCTGTGCTGACATAGGGCAGTGATAGGTGCTAGGAGTAGCTAAAACGAGGTCCCTATTACTAGGTCTAATGATAGCTCCAAGTGGAAGTCAAAGTACCCAGCCATCCTTTGGTGCATGTCACACCTAACCCCAGTGTACAGGTTCCCTGAGTAACTCACTGCTACCCTGTCGTTTCGGGATAGCTGCAAGTCTGGGAAGCACTAGAGAGTTTTCTTCTCCCTTATGTGTTTTCATCCAGCATTATGGTCATATTCATCCCTTAAATACTTAATTATTTCCCACATCCAAAGCGGCCTGAATCATGGGCACTTGCTCTCAGAAGGCTGCTGCAGTTCCCTAGGAATCCAGGCTTGTTGCTGGGGATAATGAATCACTGAATGCGTCAGCATGTAACTATTGTAAATAGTGGATCAATATTTAGATCACTTTTGCTGTTCATTACTTCATTATTCGCTGTGTCTGTGCACAGAGCAAGTATCAATATCAGAAAGGCCAGGCAGTTAATTACTGCATTGAAACGAGTCCCTGAAATCTCGGCTCCAGCCTCATATGTTATCAAAATGATTCACAGGCGTCTGCTGAGATTCAATAACCCCAAAATACGGGCAACTGAGCCGGAGCAGAGCTCAGCTTCCCTTCAGGGACCTAGCTTCTGGGTACCATGTGGGAACATAGCAGTTACCAGACTTGATCAGATCCGGGTCTATCTAGCCAGCAGCCTGTCCCCAGCAATATCTGGCTCCAGTGCCTTGAGAGGATGGTGCAAGAAATACTGCAGTGGTGGATAACTTGCCCTCGGGGGAAGTTTCCACCTGACCCCTATGAGTCCGAGTTGGGCTCATGCCCTGAAGCCGGGAGGGGTTTTAGCTCTCCCAAAGCTTTCGCTGTCTTTTTTTTAACCTTTCTCAATTTTTTTCATGTAAAGCCCCAATCATTTTTTAATCCTGCTAACCATGATACCTTGGGGCAATGGGTTCCCCAGGCTCACCGTGCACTGGGTCATAATGCCCACCACACTCGGGTTGGTTTAAAAACATTCAGTGGAGACCGCTACAAAATATAGAACAACTAGAGGTTATATAGAATGTTTCACCCATAGATCTCCAAGTGCTTCACAAAGAAGATGAGCATCATTATCCCCACTACACAGAAGGGGGAACTGAGGCATGGATAAGGGAGAGTCACGCAGCAAGCCAGCGGAAGAGCTAGGACTGGAACCCTGCTCTCTTGAGGCTCAAATCCAGTGTCCTGTCCTCTAGACAACACAGTCTCAAATGCCCTGTTATGCCTGAAAATCACCTTCCTTTTCCTTCCCTCCCCACATCCCAAGGCCATAATGAGGAAGGATGGCCCAGCATTTAGGGCACTGGCCTGAAATGTGGGAGACCCAGGTTGATTCTCCGCTTCACAGCAGACTCCCTATGTGATCTGGGGCAAGTTATTTAACCTCTTTGTGCTTCAGCTCTCTGGCTGCACAATGAGGCGCCACCTCACAGGGGCACGGTGAGGATAAACACCTTGAAGACAGCGAGGTGCCCAGATACTTCAGGGATGGGCAGCTGCGTAAGTAGCACAGACAAGTCAGTGTGGTCGCCGCCTCACCCTTCTTTTGTCTCTCTCCCCCTGTTGCCCCTGCAGGTGAAAAGCCTTTTGAATGCAAGCTGTGTCACCAGAGGTCCCGAGATTACTCTGCCATGATCAAACATCTCAGGACCCACAATGGCGCTTCCCCCTACCAGTGCACTATCTGCCTGGAGTACTGCCCCAGCCTGTCTGCCATGCAGAAACACATGAAGGGCCACAAACCAGAGGAGATCCCCACTGACTGGAGGATAGAGAAGACCTATCTCTACCTTTGCTATGTTTAAGGGACATGGAGGGGGAAGATTTAAGTCATGAAGGACTGGGCAAAAAAATGCATCATCCATGGCCTTTTATTCTGTTGTTGTTTACTAAAGGGATTCTCCGTTTTTGTCTCTGGCTCGTGAGGTGTTTGTGTGGGGTAGGGGGAATAATTCCCTTTTTAATTTTTGGGTTCTCTGTGCAGTCGATGAGAAAATGCATCAGTATCGAGGCATAGCCAAATATCTGCTCATGTTTTGTGACTACGCATGCCAAGGGCTTTGGAAAGAGCAGGTGAATGTGTGGAGGGGAGGAATGGGGCAGTCCAGCGCACGCTTTGGGGTCTGAGATTTTTGGGAGGTTTTCCTTTCCTGGTTTGAATTTTTCATCCCGTTTTTGCCACATTGGTTTAATTGACTCAGGCCTCGTCTACACTTAAAAATGAGGGCAGCCCAGCTACACTGCTTAGGGCTGTGAAAAATTTTGCACCCTGAACGCTCTAGTTAGGGTGACCTAGCCCCTGGTGTGGATGTGGCTAGGCTGACAGAATTCTTCCATCGACCCGCCTGTCGGAGAGATGGATTAACTACGGCAACAGGAAAAACCTCTTCTGTTGTTTTAGCAGCTGTAGTGTAGACATGCCCTCAGTCACCCAGCTTTATTCAGCTGCTTCTCGTGCAGCCTCACCAGTAGGTGGCAGTGTAATGCCTATCGTTAAAATCCCCCTCAGAGGATTCCCCCCCCAATTAGATTGAATGTCCCTGTTTTGGGGGTACCCAGAAATACCAGGGCAGATGATGCTCAGCATGACGGGCTGGACGCTTTGGAAGTTCGTTAGCTGTGCGAATGATGTGGTGGGTCACATTGCAGTCAAGATTTCCCCAAGTCACGAGTGATTTTTGGGAGCCTTGGTTTTTTGCCTGCCCGACTTGAGACACCCTGAATTTCAGAACATGCTGATCACCCTTGTTGGTGCCTGCAGCCGGAATCACTAGTCAGTCTGGCGCAGCTTGGCGTAAGTTAGGGCACAACTGGAATTTTCCTCAGGAAGGGGGCCAGGGAGATGACCCCTTCAGAGCAGGGCACTGGTCCCAGGTGGAGAAGATGGTGAGCTGTAGGTGCCCATGGGCACAGCATGGCTCAGCTTGGTGCGTGGCTCTCAGAGAGCAGAGCCAGCAGCAGGCAAGTTTGTGGGGCTGTAGCCAGGGGAGGAAGCAGTAGGATATGCCACGCCTGGGCACCCAGTGCCAGGGCAGGGTGCATCCCAGGCAGTAGCGGGGGGGGGAAGGTACCCTGCAGCCCCGTGGGCCTCCAGTGCCACCATTCTCCGTGAAAAGCCCTAGCATCAAGGCTGCAGCCCCCCCAGCTCGGGAAGTGCCGGGCCTCTCCTCCCAGCCATCAGCACCAGGACTCTGGCCGGGGCTCCCCCGTTGGGTGCCCCATCCATTACTTCCTGGGTGGGTGGCAAGTCCCTGGCCTCAGAGCCACCCTGAGCTGCTATCTGGAGCATCGGCGCCGTTGCTGGGTCTCTGCTCAGATCCAGCCAAGGGAAGGCTGTCCCCCTGGCCCATGTTGTACCCACTTGGGCATAAGTAAAATAAACCTGAACTTCGCTACAGTTTTGTTTCGGTGTTTTTTTTTTTTTTGTCCCCTCTGTCCCTGGGCTGCTGTGTTTCAGATGGCAGATAGTTTCCTGAAAACATTTTCAGTTTATTAATAAAATCTGAAAACAAAAAACTGTTTTGGAGAAAATGAATTTGAATAAAAATTCAATTTGAAGGAAACTATTAAAATAAATTTGACGATGGAAACTAAGTGAGCTTCAGATTGTTTGCATGCCTGTTAGTGCAGGGTGTCAGGAGCATGCTGGTGAGTTAGACTAGGATAATAATTATCCTGCTACATAGGACAGGTAGGGTGACTTCTCAACCTAGTATGGAGGATGCCTTCAGAGTGCCCCCCTCAATCACACTCCTCAATTAGTAAAGTTCTTGTTACATTACCACTTGGAATGATCAGAAACTGACAGCTGCTGATCCTCTCATTCATGCAAGGAAAGTTGCCCTGGATGTTTTGATCAATGTCACTACTCTTATGGCCAAGTCGGTTGGTGCTGGTGGTTGTCCCGCTATAATAAAAGCTACTTGGATATTTTGGGCTGAAGCCAGTTTGTTCAAGAGCTTAGAACTTGGCTGCAAAAATTGCCTCTAGGATACAACCCTCTCTCCTGACCAAAGACCTTTCTATGCATTTTTTTATTTTTATTTTTTTTTGAGGGGAGGGAATTAGAATCAGATTGAAAGGGCAAAAACTTCCAGCCTGTTTGTCAAATCCCAGTGGTTGGACAAGTGTGTCTTCAGATGAGGGAGTCACAGTTCAAGATGCTCTTAAACTGCCCCCTGGTGCCTGGGTATTGCCAGGGGTCTGAAGGAATGATGGGTGAGCTCATATTCCCGCCACTTGCAAACACATGCAATATATCCCCATGGCTTGCAATGCGTCACAGTGACTCAGGATGGTTAAATGCTAACCTGTCAGTTTGACCTAAATTTGTCAGAAATTTGAGGAGAGGGGAGTAATTCACAAGTTCAGGTGATGGATTTTGTTTGTATCATGCTGCTCAGTAGCTCACTTTTGTGTCTCCACTTATGCCACGCCTTGCAATTCAACAGTGCTCTTCTTTTTTAAAGTAAGAGCCCTTTAGAAACCATCCTGTCTGGCTGCAAGAGCTTTGCTCTGTATGGGGAAATGCGTTTGTTTTTGTTTTTGTTTTCCATGTTTCAAAACAGGAACATACCAGTTAATTTTTTTGCTCAGCCCTCCGTCCAAGAAGCTATGAAGGAGTGAATGGTAAAAGACGGCTTTTCTTTGTATTTGGCTTTGGGGGGGTTTGGTTGTTTTTGTTTTAATTTTGAATATTTCTGTTTAGCACATTTTACTTGAAATTACCTCGGTTTTTTGTGACCTCATGAGCTTTTATTGTTGGGTTGGAGGTTTTTGTTTTTTAAACGGATAGGTTGTTTAAAAGGCCATGCCGCAGATCGGTGACATGCGGTGTAAGAATCGCATGCTCGGTGAGAGTGCAAAAGTGCCACAACAGCCGCAAAAGTAATTTTACGGTGGTTTTTGTGCATTATCATTACCAAAATTGGTATTTTTTAACGGCCTGCCTTGGCAGAGCTGGGGTCGTTGATTCTGAAAGCTACCTCTTATGTTTGGTTTTGTTTTTATTTTGCAGTTATGAAAGCACATTTTGCAATATTTGTGTTCGCTTTGTGATGTCATTTCAATTTTCATCTCATGCTTTACTTGCAATTGTATATTATTTTGTAACTTAGCTGCATTTATATTAAACAAAAAAAAGTTAGGGAAGTGTTTTGTAGATGGAAGTAAAGGGAAAAAAATGAGGGGTGTTATACTGCTGTGCCCACCCTACCCCCAACCTTGTCTCAACTGTCGGGGAAAAATTTGAAGGCCTTAAAACTGGGGAAAATAACTTCATGTGACAGTGGAGCAGGGTAACTTACCGTTTAGTGAAGATTTAGTGCTTTGAAAAGGAAAGAGTTAAACTTGAATATGTGAATAGAACAGTAGAGTCTTGTTTATAATGTGAAAAATGTGAGTATAAAATCACTTAGGGCAGAACTTGGATAAATAAATCTGCACTAACGCATCAATTTTGCGTTAGCCAGCAATGGCCATGAGATAATCTCTGTCTCAAAACTAAAACTGATGTCAAAAATGTTTAAGGTATTCCACCAAATGAACCCATTCTTCACATCCACCCTGTCCCCCATTCACCGAGCTGAAAGGGTTGAACTGATATTTACAAAGTGTAATATTTTTGTAATGTTTGTTAGTCCCTGTGTCAGTTTCCAGAGGACCTTGCCCTTCCTTTTGTAATGTGAACAGGAATTGTGGGTGCGTGCGTATGCGTGTGTGTGTGTATGCTTTTTGTGCGTGCGGTTGTGTATTAAATCATGCAGTATTGTTGTAATCCAGTGTTGCAGCCTTGGATGGTACTAAATCAAAATATTGCAACTTCAGAATCACATGCAGGAAATGTATGCAAACGTGCATGTCAAATGCAGATTTCCTACATCTGCTAACATGGGCTCGAGGTGGAGTGGGGAACAAGCAGTACTGTAGGTATTGGTGACTTAATAATAATTTCTTTTTATTGTCTGGAGTTACACTACTCCTGGGCAACCATCATTTGTATTTACTGTTAACTGCAGAGAAGCAAATTCTTCCTCAACCCCCAATCTAAAAGATATTATTTGCTGTTGAATGTTAGAGGATATGTGGAGGCAGTTCGGATGCATCAGGGGCAGAGCACAAACACGTACAGAAGTAGACAGGGTGACAGACTTCACATGGAGCTGAGGCAAACATGAACAGGTCTGGAATGTAGGGGGAATCTATCTGCTTTCTCCCCCCTTCCATTAGAGAGCACAGTCTTATGGGGCGGGTGGGGGGGAACGGGGAAATATTGTGTGCAGTTTTATCTTCAGAGCAGCATCACTTCTTTGCTCTGTTGGCCAGGTCAGTAATTTCCATTTTAGATAGTCAGTTAACATTTTGAGCACTGCTTATCACGGTATATAGTACTCTTTGTGAATTAGAATGGTAACTTCCTTATACAGTTCTATCAAAACTTCTAAAGCTGCCTATATGCACAGACATTACTCTGTTTGCATCATCCGTTTTGAACGTATAGCTGGCTGTCTCTGGTGGTGTTTTGGGAATAAAATTAGTGTTGTCTCTCAATTCACAGCATTAAGATCCTTTTTATGCATTATATGTAAAATACATATATATCTATTCAAGCATACACTCATGTGTGCACACACACATAGGATTGATCGTATCTTTGCTGCTTTGTGTTGGGAATGGGAAGCAGAACAGATGCTGATTTAGTACGATCCAGGATGTAACTCTGGAGAATGGCTTGTTTAATCTTTGTGCCTGAAAACAGTTTTTTCACATTTAAAAGAAAAAAAAATGGCTGCGATTTCTCACAAGTATATGGTACCTTTTTGCAGTAAATTGGTACTGCTGGCGGGGGGATGTCATGGTACAATGGAGCAAACAACTAATTTTCCAGCTCAATTTATTTTCCATTGGAAGACCCTTTCTTCCCCCACCATCCTAGGTGTTGGCACATTTTGGCTGCACCACCTGGCACTGTGTAAACTGAAGTTTGTTTCCTACCAAACCCAAAAAGTTCAAAATCAGGTCACTGGGATGTTTTAAATTTAAAGACATGAACTTTTGTTGAGTGAAAACTCATCAGACAAGATGAGAACGCTTTTTATTATTTTTCACTCCGCTTACATCTCATTGTTCTCCCCTTGTCCCTCCCCTCCAACCCCCCCATTGGGACATCTGCTTCTGTGGGTGTCATTCCAAGACTGCTTTAACCCATAGGACAGAAAAGAGGGTTGACAAAAAAGGCAGCAAATTCACCTCCGACATACAGCTTTGAAATATCATTCCAATGAATGTGGCTGATGAGAAGTCTCTGGTCCCATGACATCCTTCCGTGTGGAGTACCAACCTTTTGGTGTGCATCATAGTATTTGTTTCACATAGTGTTATGTATGCATGATCTTTTAAGGCTAACAAGCCATGGTAAAGCTCCATGACATCTATCCATATATATATAATTATATATATGTATATTATAGCACTGAGGACCAACTGCCCTTCTGGACCAAGCAAACAAAGGCTTGTTTTCGTTGCTTGTCTTGTATGTTGTGACAGCACAAGTGCCAGTCTGATCGCTCTGTATTAAAACTAGTGTTTTTAATTAATTGATGTTCTAGTTCTGTCTACCTCAGCACCTCCTGTTAGCCTAATTTTAGAAGGTGCCCAATTTTTTGTTTTTTGGTTGTTGTTTTTTTCAGATTATTGGTTACTATTTTTTGTATAAATCTTCTGTTTGTTTTCTCGTTCCGTTCATTTCTTTTGCAGCACTGCTTGTGAGTCCATTCTCTAGCCACAGATGCAGTTAGCTAAAAATTTTAAAAAGGAAAAAAAAAAATCCCAAATTGTGATGTCTCCTAGTTGCAGCTCTCCGCATCTGCCTTCATTCTGTGTAGATTCAGCTGCGTTTCTTTGTAAAACTTCAGTGTTTCTGACAGAGGAAAAGAAAAAAAGGAAAAAAAAAAAAGAATTTACTGCTGCAGGTTTTTTTTCTCTCCATGTGTCACTAAGTGAAGTTCGTGCCTTCTATAGCAAAGAGAATATTTTTTACATCCTACTAACAGTAGATTTTTTTGTAGTGAACATTTTTTGTATTTTTATTTATAAGTCTCATAAGAAAAATAGCAATGTTCAGTTGTATACCTTGAATCTGCAGTTAGAAAAAAAAAAATAAAGTTAATTCAGTCGTCTCTGCCTGCCGCCTCCTCCTTCTATTCTTTGCTCAGATGTTTCTCTGGCCAGGAAGAGGAGAAATCCATCGAATGAGCTAAAACCTTACCTGATCCCTGTTGAACAGGACTGAAATAAGGGACGGGATTGAAAGGCTAATGTTATTTCCATACAAATGGCCTTCACCTTTCAGAGAGCACTGGAGAGCGTTTTGCTTTTTCTTTATACCAGCAGATGTCAGCCTCAAACTACTTCTGGTTCCCATTTTAACGGGCTCTGTGGCTTCTAAAATAAACGAGGATGGTTTCCAGTTCCCCTTCTTGTCTCTGGTGGTTTGGGGGTCAGGCACTGCCTTGAAATAGTGGTGAAATAATATGAGACTGACCTCAACCACTCTTCCCTGACACAAGTGTTTCCGATGTAATAATCACCACGAATCATTTCAAGACAGCTCAATTAGAGAAATAATACTTAGGTCTCAGATCTCACTTCTCCTCACCAACGTGCTCTCTGCACTGCCATGCGCATGGCCACTTAATATTTCTTCCTCCCATTTCATGGGCGGAGAAACTGAGTCTCTCACACAGCGTAAGGCCAAGATTTTCCAGAGCTGCTCATGATTTTGGGAGCCTCCATATTTTTGTTGGCTGCCCAATATGAGACACCTTAAAAAGGGGCTGATTTTTCCCAATGTTCTGAGCACTCGCCGTTGTGTTTCAAGATGGGTACCATAAATCGCTGGCCGCTGCTGGAAGTCTTGTGCCCATTGCTGTGGAAAGCAGGCCCGGTAGCTGGAGATAAGATTGCTTACCAAAGAGGGTGCTGCTGTTCAAACTATAGGGGACTGGGATACCTTGGCCATCCATCCGGATCAGATAACGAGAATCAAATTGTGATTAAGAGTAAACCATAGTGATTTCAAAGTAAAGCAGAGTTGGCAGGTTATTCTCTGATCAAATGCCTTCCCTCTATAATGGCAATTAAAATTGGAGCCCTGCCATGCTTACTGCACACTGCACTGGTCCTTGGCAAGGCACTGAAACGATAGAGGCCTTCTGTGCTAATGTTCTTGCTCGTCACTTATGTATCACGTGCAGCTAGAAGCTTCAACCAGCTCCAGCTTCCGTGGGGCCAGGCTCTTCCTGAACAGATAACTGATGGCTCCTGCCCCAACGAGCTCACAATCTGACTCCACTTCCCTCTCCTTTTGCTCCATATCAGCCTTCCACAGGGCTCAAGGGCAGCAGGGTGGGTGCTAACCTGTCTCCTAGGCGGAAGTCCGGCTGCATTGCAGGAAATGTTGGTGAGGAGGAGAAAAAGAACCTGCTAAACTTTTGCACATCATGAAATACTCACCGCCCCTTCTCCCTTGCAAATGAAGGTGAAGAACCATTTAAAAATATATGTACCTTCTTCATCTGGCCCCTGGGAGCTCAGCTTTGTAGGCCCAAGAGGCCAGGGTTGTGCGGGGGAAGCCAGTGGTTTCATAACAAACAAGGCTTCTCCCCTCCCAACACAGCCTGCGTCCTGGGTCCACATGCTGGAATTGCTGCTGCTTGTTTGAGTGGCCTCGTCCCTGGGAGCTGTCACTGCTGACACCTTGTCGCCTCTGATATTGTGGCTCCTTCGTGGTCTCTCTAATGCTGGAAGTTGGGCAAAGCAAACTTGTTCGTCTCTCTGAATGGGCAAGTGCCTGCTTATGGGGGGGCGAGGGGGCGGAGACTGTTTGTTTTTTCTTTCACAACCCCCCAGCCCTTGCTCAGCTTTCTCTGCTGCCCCTCACAACATGCTGGGTACGTGTCTCCAATGCACGCACCCGGCCTGAGCAGGCCTCTTTTAAGCTTTCTCTTGACAGATGGGAGGGCAGCAAGATTTCCATCTTTAAAACAACATTTAATAGCAGTTTTCTGCTAAATGACATCAAAGCAGAGGCTTAGGTGCTCCGGGTGGGTCATGTGCCCCATGGATATGGGTGAGAAGAGGTGAGTGAATAGCGACCCTGCTGAATAGGCTTTGTGTGACAGTGAGGGCTTCCCATCCTTATGTGCTCTTTGACCCAGATATGATCTAATGGATAAAAAGGGGCCCTGACAGCGCGAGCATGAAAAAGCTTTGTGCCCTTCATTAAATCCCTCAAACCATATTTATACAGCCTCAGCGGCTGAGCAGCCAGCGGCTCTGCACAGCTCGGGGCTGGGGAAGGGAATGCACTGGAACGTGCAAAGAGCGCTTGACCAGCCTCAGGAATCCTCTCCCCGAATGCCTGAGTGACGCTTCACGGGGTGCACAAGGAGAGATTCCTGTCCACTTTGCCTGGGCACACGAAGTCGAGTGACCTCCGCTTTGCAATAGCAGCTCATGCCGCATTCAACCCAGCGGAAAAGAGTGAGCGAGACTCCCTTTTCAGTGTACTTTTGCTTGCTATAGAGCGTGCAAGAGTCCCCCAAAGCTGGCCTGTTGACTGAAAGCTGGCAGCAGATTTAAAAAAACAAAACAAAACAAAAAAAAAACTTCTCATGCCACAGCTCTGAGGAGGAGCAAGGTGCTGCTGTCCAGCATGAGGAGTGGACGAGGAGCCAAACGAAAGCTGCACGTCCCAAGGGCTGTAATAGAAACTTTTTTTCTATTGGACAGGAGGAGAGGAAACACCTGAGGGTGGCATGGATATTCTGGCACACGCACAGTGTACTCCAGTTATCTCGCAGTGTCCGCAACCCCAGGTCTTCAAAAATCATGAGTTGGGGCCCCAGAAATCATGAGACGGTTAAAAATCGTGCCATTTTTAACCCAAGGAATAATAGCTGTGGGCAATTTGCCTACTGGGGTTGGACCCTTTGGGGTCTCCTGTGGTCATATGTTCACACTCTTCTCTGAACCAGGGAGGCTAGAAATGTATGGTTTTCAATGGAAGTTGTTTCTTATGTAATCACAGGACTCCAAGAGTTGAGATGTTAAGAAAAACACTAAACAGTGCAAGATACAAATAAACAGAAAGGGCCTGATGCTGCTTTACTCTGAAATCCCTTTGCAGCACCCCAGCAAAGTAAAGGGGCCTTAAACTGTGGGAAATTACAGTACTTCCCCACAAAAGACCCCTTTACGCTGCCAGTGTGCCATAAAGGGGCTTTGGTGTGAAAGAGCATCAGGCCCCAAATACTCTGCTGGACACTTTTTTCCCCTTTTAAATTACACACTGTCTCGAGGTGCAGAGCCCCAGTGTATCAGCCAGCAAACTAAAGTGCTTTATAAAACTGTTTGCTGCCATCTGTCATTTCACATAATGGGGAAACTGAGGCAAGAAGCAGCCAATATTTCAGGTGTTTTGGTTTTGTTGATGCCCTGCCCAACCCAATCCATTTTAGGATTGAGCTTTCAGCTTGGCCAAGCACCCAGAGCTGCCATCAGCTTTGATTGGCCTGGCCGATGCTCAGAAGCTCTGGATTTCAGGGAGCTGAGGCAAAGCCCCAGACCTGGGAACCTCCTGCAATCAGACTTTGGAACATCACCATCTAGCTGCCTTGCCCAAGGCTGCCTAGCAGAGCTAGGAACAGACCGCTTAGTCTCTTCAATGACTCAGACCACTTTACCATGCTCTTCCAATCAGCATGACCTCTCCGGGAGCAGGGAACAGTCTGGCCTCAACCAGGCAGACAAGAGTTAAGCCAACACAAAAGGAGGCTAAAGAGGGGAATTCCATGGGGAATCTCACAACTGGGCCAGGTCAATTTTTAGAAAGGCTCAGTCCCCCAGTTTGGCTCCCTCTGCACAAAGGGGGGAGGAAACAGCGCCCGCCTAGTTCCCATCCAACGGGTTTATCGGGATCTGGTTAATCTGGTATCAGAATAAAACCGATTCCTGGCACTGAATGAGTGAACACAGCAGCGAGGAAATGGCCAGCACAAGGAGGAACAGGGCCGCCCCCAGGTAGGCCCTGAGGGAGATGGAGTTAAGAAAGGAGTTGGAGGTAAAGGGAATAAAGTCTTGGGGAGACTGTTACAGGAAGGTAACCTGGGGAAGGAGGGAAGGGTCTGTGGTTTTTGTCGGGCGCATGTGTGTGTCTATTCTCTCTTGGTTCTTCGTGTGTAGAAGTCTGTGTGCACGAGCCTGGAGGCCTGCACGCGCCTTGGATCTCAGCCGCCTTTGCTGGCTCTTCTAAATGTGTTCTGGGCTCACCAGGGAGCTGAGCAAGTTTGCTTCAATGAAAGTGAACTCGTTCATTTAAACCTGACTATAGAGTACTCTGGCCCCCTGCTGTGTTAATTATCCTGTAGTTCTAAACTGATTGCTGTACACTAAGCTTAAACCCTCCTTTATTTATTTACTGACTACATTAACAGCAAAGCCTGCACTCCTTTTATCTAGTTGCAAACTCTATGGCATGCTGCACTCATGCTCTTATTTAGCAGCTCGATACAATCCCATCATGGGGTGAGGCAGGGGCTGTAATTAATATATTTTCTCTCTGCTTTTTCCTCCCTCTGCCTCCCTCCCCTCCAGCACGAGGCCCTGGGAAGCAAGAGCAGTGTGGGAAGGCCCCTTGGGGCACTTGGTTATAAAGCCCCCTGCTCATGTGGGTTTGTGGGGAGAGGTGATGCTCCTATAGCCCCTCCATACTGCTCTCTACAGGCTCCATGTATGGGACTCAGTGTCCCCATGTGCAAATAACTCCCCCCTGCCCTCATCTCTGGTTTGGAGTGTGAAACCCTAGCTTAACACTTGAGAGAGTGTCACTAAGGAGGAAGCTGCCTCTTGGTAATTAGCGCCAAGCTCTCCCAGCAGAGGGAGCAGCTGCCCGAGCACCTGCTAGGCTGCCACTGCCTTTGCATGGCCTGGTGCGACACATGAGCCGACGGGCTGTACCCTCGCCAGGGCTGCCGAGCCAGTCCGGGGAGTTATGGGAAATTAAAATACGGTTAAATGTTAATTACGGGGAAGCTCCAGGTCAATTAGTGTCACTTAATGTAAAGTGCTATTTATATTTTAAATGATTGATGAAATACGTAGTCATTGTCCTGTGCTCCAGC